ATGAGCAATCACCATTACGAGAATCATCGTCTATCAATCCGAAGCAATATCAAATTTTAAAATTCTGCTTCGTATGTCCACATTGTTGATCCGAACACGGTCGTTCCCCAAATTCATAACGACGAACTTTAAATGTTCAGTAAGGTGAGGTATGAAACATTAAACCAATATCAATCAGGATTGTTATCCTGTGCACCAATATCGATTTTCTATCCATGTGACTGGTTATCGACTTCCCACTGGTTTTTTTCTCTAGAAATGTCAAGTGTTGTCTGTTTGTTTGTCTATCCGTATTTTTTTAACTCGTTCTTAGTTAAATTTGTTGCCTCTCTTAAATACAGGGCAAATATTTGGAATGTTCAACAATTCTTCACAACACGAAGCATAAATTGTTACCTTTGCATACAACCTTCAAATGGCCAGGTAGTCTGAATAAATAAGGTAATTACTTGCTGAATCACCGAAACTGTGAACGTTCACATGCATAATTACTGTTGCCTGGTTAACTAAGTGACACTTGACCATTCGGTTGGATATTTGGTGAAGACAGACGGGAAACAGCTGTCAAATCAATGCAATATTGAGTTAGAAGAGGGGTCAGTTAGTCAAAATCTTCAAAGTGCAACTCTCCCTTAAAATTTTTTAAACATCAACTGTCAAATATATCCTAAGAACAAACTTGATTTAGTAATTTTTCTAAACAGACTGTTTTCTACTACAAAATAAGCACACACTTTCCACAAAACCTTCGGAAATTTTGGAATAAAAAGCAGGCGCAGGTTAAAAGGCAGAAACTTATGGAAAAATCGTAATACTGTCAAATTGTGCATTTTAATTACAGGAAAATAATAAAGTTCGGAACCTATGCACCTCATTATCTGATGCACATCTTTGATGTAATTTGTAGATTATGGGTTCAGCCTAAAATAAATTAATTATTCATTCCAATCAATAAGCGCCAATAATGCTCACTGATCTCTTTTCTATTAAGATCAGGCTAGATCTATTTGTTTTTTTTCTCAATTTTGAAGTGAAAAAGAATTAAATTGACGAAATTGAACACAACCATTAAGCGGCCGGTCATTAAACAATGAAGAAAATGAATAGGAAAGTGATTAGTCATTCACTAGACGAATTAAAATGTCGAATTTTGGAACGCGGTGTAATGGACTTTCCAACAAGTGAATACTCTGTGGCTGGAAATCGAGAATCAGATGAAGTAAATTTTTGACGTCTAATTCCAATCCATTCCCATATCTCATGTTGAACTTCACTTGTTCACTCAATATATATATATATATATATATATATATATATATATGTAAGTATATTGGTTTGTACCGAGGGTAAAGGCATCTCCAATTTAAAACGAAATAGAAACCGAAACAAAATAAGATTACAAAGGAGTTCGCAATCTCAAGTTAATGAACCGACGCAAGGGGAAGGAGAGAGTCCTGCCCGCTGTGTGACAGGGATGACGATCGAAATGCCGAACATGCCCTTGGCATTCTAGCCAATAGGAAATGCCATAACGCAGTAAAATATCTATGTGCATGCAAGGGAAATTGTTTGACAAACAATAGAAAGTAAAAATACCAGTTTTAAATTGAAATGAATAACCACTTAACTGAGTGAATGTAAGTGCCTTTAACAGATTAAATGAGGTAGGGAGAAAGATATTCAACCATCAGTGAAGGAAGTTGAGTGAAGAAAACAAGAAAAAAATTGCTCAGATGCCTCGACTAGAATTATATCAATAAGTTACAAAATTGCATCCTTTTTGTCCAATCCGTATATTTAAATAAACGTTATGTAAATGAACTTGTTTTTAAAATTGCATAAAAAAGCAAGCATCGATTATACCGAAAATATTTTAATTTTAGACCAAGCTCCTAAAGCAGCAAAAATAGACGACAATTGTCAAGAAACTGAGTTATTTTATTTAAAATTAGCAATAAGATTTTAGCCTTTTAGAATTTTAGGTAGATAAAAAAACAGACGTGGAGGTGGGGGAAAAACCAGCCAAATAGGCAGCAAATTGAAGTCAAATTCCAAAACCCTCCAATTGGGAACTTGGGAGAACGTGTTCACCTTGAGCGAGCACAAGTCACGTAGCTCCCACTTGCTTAAAAAATTGTCTCATTTCTTCCATGTTACAACAGTGGAATACCTTATAAGGCTGAAGCTGTATAGGCAACCATTCTTTACTAATTAATTACCAACAGTCAGGGGTGTGCGATAGACTTACCTACACGTGGTGCACCCTGGGCAACGTATACACATACGGCAAAAAAGTCTATTAACTGGCAGTTGACTTCTGACTTCAAACTACTACCACCTCACTCTATGCCATATTCGACTACTTCCATAGTACTCACCTCACCTTTTTTCTACCATTGTGTCTGCCTGTCTCTTTAACATCTGTGAACCACTCTTATGTTCCCCCTCCCCTCTCGACTTTTTTCAATTTGATGCACCTTCCTCTCTGTGAAGTCTGAAGTCAACTAAAGGGCTAATGATAACCATCAAGACGCCTGCCATTGGATATAATAATTACTAACAGTCAATAAGGACTGTTAATTGTAGGCAAGTTTTTATTCCAAACCAAGAAAAAGTTAGTGAAATTTAAGTTCTCCAAAGTAAAGTATCAATTTGGCAAAAACCTTATACAACTCGCTACTCTTTTACACAATAACTAATTGTATAATTTTGTTACTGTGAATAGTAATAGTGATAATAACGAATTAGATATTACCTCATAGCCATAGGTCAGAATTATTATAATATTCCGGATTGAGCTATGAAAATCCAATTAAGTGACCAAATATGAGAAGAAAGGGTAATTGCAATATGCCAAAGGAAAAGTACACAGACGGGTGATTATTGTCAGGAATGCGAATTATTGAATATCTAGAATGAAAGTTCGTTCTAAGACCTGAAATTATCAAAGATAAAATACTGAATTCTATTATTCGCTCCAAATATAAGAACTTAAAAACAGCCATAAGCATCTTAAAAGATAAATAACCGATACTTTGGCAATCACGTCAGGGTCACCAATTTGTGGTGAATTACTACCTTAGTAAAGCCTGACTGACTCAGAAATCTCTATGGCCCTAAGTAAAGCCTGACTGACTTAGAAATCTCTATGGCAGATTCTCCTGACTCAGAAATCTCTTTGGCAGATTCTCCTACATCTAGACCGACTCAGAAATCTCCATGGCAGATTCTCAAACATCTAGCTACCGGCTCAGAAATTTCTATGGCAGATTCTCCAACATCTAGCTAGGAATCAGAAATCTCTATGGCAGATTCTCCAACCTCTAGCTAGAACCAGAACCAGCTAAGCTATAGCCCAGCTATAAGGGAAACTGACGTGTAGCACGAAATGCGTTTATTCGGTACGTATATTGGCTATAAAGGAAACACGAACCAGCTAAGCTATAGCCCAGCTATAAAGGAAACAGACCGAAACTAGCTAAGCTATAGCCCAGCTATAAAGGAAACAGACGATAATTCGGAACACGTATATTCAGTCACGTAATGATCAGAAAAGTGTGCACGGAGCACGTTTATTCAGGACGTATCTTGCGGATCAAGTCACGTTTATTCAGTACGAGTATTGCGGATAAAGTGTACACGCAGGAAGCTTAATCATGATCGGGATGGCGGATTAGGTTAAACAGACAGAGGTTAATGATTGGTCACAGGGGTGTGAGATAGACTTACCTCCACGTGGTGCACCCTGGGCAACGTATACTCATACGGCAAAAAAGTCTATTAACCGGCAGTCCACTTCTGACTTCAAATTACCACGACCCCCCTGGTTGTCATATTCGACCCCTTTCACAGTACTCACCTTACCTTTTTCTCTACCTTTGTGTCTGTCTGCCTCTTTTACATCTGTGAATCGCTCTTCTGTTCCCCACCCTTCGACTTTCTGCTACTTTGATGAACTTTCCCTCTGTGAAACCCGAAGTCAGCTAAATGGCTAATGATATCTATCAAAACGCCTGCCATTTGAAATAAATAAATGATTGGTCACTGTTTGTACGGTCGCACCTCCCAATCCTGGAGTGTAGGCATGCGATGACGTGTCCCACACTATATATCTCCTAGGACACCAGTATTCTAATGTTTTGAGGTTTAAAGAAGGCTTCTTTTCGCCTTTTACAAAGAAGAGATTTGTTAGTTCATTCGTAAGTCTAAGATATAGCAGCAGAATTTATTCCCAGCTGAGCATATATATATATATATATATATATATATATACATATATATAGGATTTTGTAAATCCTGAACATACTAGATAATGACATTTTACCTGCTATTTCGAAAAGATGTGTTTCGATCGCTGCTATATGTTAATTATACTAGCCCATGAAAATGCCAAGTAACTTAAAAAACACCAAAAGTTTTAATCTATATCTTTTCCCCACCCGAAAATGAATCTCATGAAACAGGTGACATGCAAAAGAGGAAACTTGTAAGAACATGGTGTAATTTAAAGTGCACCAGTCTTCATATCTACAAAATTTTCACCACATTTAAAATCATAACTTCTTTGTTTTATCGCCAGGATTTATAGCGAAAAAAATATTACTGAATAATGATTTAAAGTTCCACCAAATTACTTCTCATTGATTTCCATACACCAGATCAATAAGTTGCACACATTACAAATAAGAAATAAAAATTGTTAGTAGCTACTAGGAAAAAAATAATTTTAAAATAGAGAAGATGGAAACTCTATTTTTATACACAAAAAGATAGAGCCTTAAAACCGTCAGTTTTGTATGACATGCATCATGCTAGCCAAAATGATTCGCAAAACTAGCATCTAGTAAACTTTGTGGAAAGATGTTCACGAACGTTTCAAAACCGTCAATCAGAATTGCTATCTAATCGGTAACCTCCTAATAGACATAATTTCTAAAAGTCGAAGTTGAAGTCTTGAGGTCCAAAAGAATCTGAACACTCCCTTCAAAACCTTGTAAAACTCATTCCAGCCTATAGAGTTCGGACGTTTCACTAGCATATTGTCCAATTCCAGAGGCAGCCGGCTCTAGAATTTACAGTACACTGGTACTCAAGTGCACTTACTATTATTTGGCCTTTTCTGTCCAATATACACCCAGTTTTCAATTTCGAAGAGGCTGTTGTTAGCTTGCTTGTCTTTAAGCTCATTCATTCTGTAAGGGGTCTCTAGGCCTCTAATAGCTTTGTTGTCAGTGTTAGAACTCCTTCAAGCTTCATCTGGCACTAAACAATATGATAAACTACCATAGAAGGATAGTTTCAAGAGTTTAAATATGTTAAAATGTCCAAATTCAAGTCGCAGCCTTATAAACGAAACCTAGACTTTCGACATTTTGATAACCAAATAATTCAATCAATGAACAATAACTTACCAGGAAGATAAAGTGTATCGGGCTCGGGGATAGACAGGCGATTTGGTTCCTTTTTTGGGGAGTGGCAGTTGCAAGCACAGCAGGAGCCCGTTGTAGATATGAATGACGTTCCCATTGGCGTATACCGATGAGAGGGCACGTTGCTACTATATGCTTCACTCCAAGATCTCTCCATCCTCTCTTCAGTATCCTTGTAATTCCACACATAGCTCAGACTTTCGTTCACCCGATCCAAGTCAAGTCTATTCACATGTACACGTTGGATCAACTCTTGACAGCCTGATTCTAACTGAAGGAGATCATCGGAGATACCTTTTATGATGGATACAAGGTTGGAAAAGCCTTCACCTCTTTGCTGTATCTCTTCTTGTTCTACCGGGTGGTCAGCTGACTTCTGGGAGGCCACCTGAAGCTCCATGTCACTGATATCTCCATAGTCGGTATCATCCGGATGGGATACAAGATCAGGATAGTCATGAGCGAAGTAGACACCTTCATCATCTAACTCCAAACCGTCAGCATCAGAATGCTCGCCAATTTCAGAGGAGTCTTCTGCTATTTCGGAGAATGGAATAGGTGAACAAGCACAGTCTCGAGTTAAAATCCTTGTGTCAACACTGCAGTCTCTGCAAATAGTGGGTGTTCTAGAAGTGGGGTAATTGAAAGTCGTGGTTAGGTTTGAGGTAATGGGTGCTACATGCATAGAAGGGGGTTCTTTGATGAAAGAGGCGGTCTCCATTTCCTGTTCATCCTCCTCAAAGTTTGTACTAAGAGAATTTAAAGAAATTGGCTTCTCGGGCTTCATGTTAAATGAACACGGAGTAGGCAGTTGCATGACGGGAAGAGGTGATTGGAGATTTGAAGTTGAAGGTGCTGCATGAGCAACTAATATTGAAGAGCGGGGAAAAATACTCTGTTTGGGGCAGAATGAATCTAAAACAGAAAGAAATTACCTTTAGATATATGGAGTGAAATCGAGAACAATCCTACCTTTATCCCATTTCTTTTGAAGCCACAATATTATTAATGTCGCTGATCCTCAACGAGGTGTTTATCCTGACTTGAAAAGTTGAATTTTACAAGCAGCGAACAAATTGATCTAATATTCAGTGTTATATGCAGTTAAAAGATAGACTTACCTCCACGTGGTGCACCCTGGGAAACGTAT